GTCTTGATCATACGATAGGATAACACCGCTCACCAGAGCAGCTACTAGAAGTGATGTATGCTATACCGAAACCGAACCTTCGGGTTTTATCCGCCATAAGACTGCCCCGGTGACCACGCTGAGAATGAGCAGACCTACGGCTGCCGATAGATTGAAGTGTGACTGACAAAGGTTGTGTCAACCCAGCGGAACAGAAGATAAGTAAACGGGACGACGTACCAGGTCTTTGGGCGGCGACCGCGTCTGTGAGTCGGTTGCTGTCCCAGACGCATCGTCTGGGGACGAAAGCGGATGGTTCAGAACTGACAACTCCGGGGTGATCGGAAACGGCATACCCTTGAGACTCCTTGTCGGCTCATCCTCGCCTGCAGCTGTCGCCCTATCACTGGCCGCATGCGATTCCGTGTCACTGATGCTCGAGTCGTCAGCAGTCCAAGGCAAGCACTACTGCGTGAGTGGGTGAGATTCGGTGGTGTCGCCTGAGATCGACGATGCCGACGAGCCTACCTCCACGCCAGCAGCCATGGAGGCAGACCGCGAGCGCGAGCGGCCTCTTGACGAGCTGCTGCGTTTTCGCCTCTGTCGTGGGCGCGTCGACTCTGCTGACAGGCTGCGTGGGCTAGGGGGAGTAACGAGGCCGCCGCTGTGGGTAAGCTTTCCGTTTCCATTCAGAAAGGAATGTTGTTGCGCAGGCAGCGCAGCTAGAGTCCCGAGCATCGACTCGACCTTCGAAATGTTGCTGCCGACGCCATCCTCGACAACCCGGATGCGCGTCTCCCACTCGTCTTTCGCACGGCGCAGGTCCTCCCGCTCCTCAGTCCACTCTTCCTACATGTTGCTCCATCGGCCTTCGACGTTCTTTTTCCACTCGTTCACCATTTCCGTCAGCGATTCCCGCGTCCTCTGCTCGGCCTCCTGCGCTGCTGAGTCGGGGGGTTGTTCCGAGCACATGGCCTCAGCTAGTTGCTCGGTTGCTTCTGTCTGCACCTGAACCTGTGAACGAGTGTCATGCACGAGATTCTCCAGCGAGGCAACTTTCGACTCCAACAAGGAGATGGTCGACTGTGCAACCGAATGTTGCGCCTCAAGAGAGCGCGAGAGTTCGAGCGCAGATTCCAGTTGCTTTGAGAGTGTCGTTAGCCGCTCGCTGATATTGTTGGGGACCGCAGCAGGTATAGGAGCTGGTGCGGCCACAGGCGGAGGAGACGACGACCGAGTGCGCTGTTGCGGCTCGTATGTGCTGTGATCGTGGTCATGATCATAGTCATCGTCAGACATACCCGTTCCCGTTGGCTCTGGCATGCACGGGCGACCCAGCTCTTCCCTCCGCCTCCTCCGCTGCTCCTCTTCTCCTCCGTGGCCAGCTGCTCCTCGTCCTCCTCGTCGACTCGGTCGAGCTCATGCGGAACGATCGTCGACACACTGTGTACGTTGTCGTCGTCGTCAGACATGTAATGCGAATCATCGTCGTGCCCGTATTGGCGACGTCCACTGGGACTGCCGCTGCGTCCGCGAGACGTGTCCATCTCGCGCTTGCATTCCTCCATGAGCTCGCGCAGGGAGCCGACTTCGCGCTTGATCGCTTCGTGCTCGGCGAGCATCGTCTCGAGGGAGCGAATTTTGTCTACGTGGCTTGCGAGAGACATTTGAGTCTCGCGCAGTTGTGATTGGAGTTCCGAAAGTGCTCAACCCGAGTCTGATGGTGACGGTGCCTGTGGCGCCTGTTGTTGTTCAGATTCTTCCTGCTGCTGCTGCGACTGAGGAGGCATGACTGGTGGGAGATTCGAAGGATGCGGAGGGAGGTTCGGCAGCTGTGAGCGCCCTGCAATGAACAAAGAGCCAAGTCATATGTTTCAGGCAACACACTAGGTTGCCACCGAGGGTATCATGTATCTCGTTCATCGCACTCGTCAGCGAGTGCAGCTCGGCACCCGTATTGCGGCTCTTCTGCAGCTCGCCCTGCAGGCGGCTCAGGATGTGGTCAAGGGTGAGCCCGCTCTTGCCAGGCACGTTCATGTTCCTGCCGCGGTCGCCGAGTCCAATGAGGCCCTGCTGGAACGACGGGCGGCGCTGCTGTCCGGGCGCATTCGGCAGCTGGACCGGCGCGAAGCTGAACTTGCCCGCTGCAGGAAGTGCGCCGACACCGTATGCGGTGGGGCCTGCCTGCGCCTGCGCGCGCGCAGTGGCCTACACTTCCTGCTCGGTGAAGACGCACACCACGCGCGCAGCGATCTTGTGGTGGATGATCGTCTTGTTGTCCTCGCCAACGATATCAATGCCGAATTCCTGCACTGCTGCGTGAGGCGGGGTGTCGCGGGCGGGGAGAGCGCCGAGATACGCACCATGACTTGAGCTCGAAAGGCTCGGACTCGGCGCCCTCGGGTCTGGGGCGCTCGCCGTTGATGAACGTGCCGTTGGAGCTCTTCACGTCCTTGATGAAGAGCTGGGGCACAGGCGGGTCGGCGAGCGTGGATCCGCGTGCGCGCGCGTGATGCATCCACGGCGGGTGCGCCACGGACAGCTCAGAGTCAGCAGGCTGACCTGATGAAGCCCTGATGCGCCCCAGCCTGTCGTTGCGAGTCGTGTTTCGTTGATTCTGTAAACCAGATGTCCCGGTGAGTTTTCTCTCGTCTACATGAACGACTTGTACGGAGAACTCACGTTTACCCGGCAGTCATCTACGGTCGACACCACGCGCGCAACAGCAGGCATGGCCCATATCGCGTTTGCGCGCCGTTCGTAGCATGGTGCCCTCGTCATGACCGAAGGTGGCGAGCATCACCTGCGGCCTTCACGGCGACAGGCGGGGTGTAGAATGCGCCAAGCGGGCTGGCAACACGGTGGGGAGCACGGGTGGGGTTGAGACATGCTGGAGATGGCGGGGGACAGAGAAAGGGTTAGGGAAAAAGGAGGCATGCGGGGGCGGAAGTCACGAGCATGGAGGGAGCGCATAGACTCTCGTAGCGACCAGGGATGTGCTTGCAAATAGCGGGGTCCAGAGAGGGACGCATCGGATTGGTGTGGTGTCACGTTGGTGAGTGAGACGGCGGTTGGATGGTGCTTCGGTAGACATGATGGGGGATATAGTGATGAATGGGAAGGGAGCGCGCGGTAACGGACGTGCGAGTGGCTAGAGCGCGGCATTACATAGAGGGCGGGTAGTGACAGCGTCGGCATCGGCGGCGTGTGTGAATCGACAAACTCGGCCATGCAGGCGAGGCGCAGTCGCGTGTCTTTGGTCCGCGTGTGCAAGTGGCGAAGGTTGAGGACAGCATGTGCAGCATGGACATTGTCTCCTGGTGGTACTGGTACATTTGATAGGGCCTACGTGCAGACGTGAGCAGGCACATACACGGGCGTAAACAACGCGGACACCTACGGGAAGATATGCGGGCTGTTAATCAGCGCCGGAAGATGATGAATCACGCTCCCATCATCCCACTCCCAGCCCAACACGACCTCTTCATGGGCCTTCAGGTCCCGTAGCGCGAATATTCGAAAGGTCAGCGCATCTTCGTCATCGGGCTCGCCGTCGTCCTCGACGCGCTAATCTGACTTACTTCGCTTCTTGCGAGGGCACAGGACAGGTCGCAGGATGGTGTTCGGTCTGCAGCCGCTGCGCACAAAGCGACTCTAGTTTCTGGTCCGTCGTGCATGGAGGGCGAGGTCGAAGAGAGGACCGATGAGGCGGACAAAGGGCTTTGACATACTGAGGTGAGCATAGGCGTTCAGGGGGTCGGGGAGATAAGCGATAGAAGGGGTGATGGTGGACGTGAACGGGGTGATGAAGGACGAGGAGGGAATGGAACAAGCAGCGTGGATGGCGTAAAGAGAGCGGAGGGAAGAGTCGAACGCTCAAGGAGAGTGCGGGATATAATGCAGACTTGTGAGGGCGGTGACCTGGACGCGTATGCGTGAACATGAAGGGAAATCGTTAGGCGTCAACAAGACGGACGTCGTGGTGGGGGACGTCGTTGTCGAGTATTCACCTTCGAGGGCTGTCGCGCCTCACCACTGTGGCGCGGCGCGGCGTAGTTTCTCGCGGGTATGATGGCGGGGGACGACGTCTCTGTCTATCGCGACGTGGCTAGGTGTCCACAGCTCGTCAATGTCGACGTGCTCATCCTCGCCTGTCGGCTGCACGTTGATGGATGGCCTCCTCCGTTTTCTGTGGCCGCCCCATCGCTGCTGCGTTTTCCCATCGTCGCCTCCGGTCCACGCCTGGACTGCTGACCCCCGCTTTTGCCTATCGAGGTTGAGCGTGGCTCTCTAACGCGCCTTCTGGATGTGAGCAGTGCGGTCTTTGTCGGTGGCCTGGGGGCTGAAAATCCAGCACCGCGATTCCTCTAGGACCTGAGTCGACGATCCCGAAGCAGGCCGCATGGCACCAGCGCGCGCAGGAGTCGCGGCCGAACGAGAAGGCGCCGTCTAGATGAATTCGCAGATGCAGCTAATTGTGTCCGAGGTATCTTCATTGTCGTCTAGGTGAGTTACAGTAAACTCAATCATCGATTGCGTTTGAGGGTGACAGTCGAGAGTGCCGAACGAGGGATTGAGACCAAGGAGGCCCAGTGCTGCCGCTTCGGTCGCATCGTGTCGCAGCACATAGGCAGCCCTGTAACACAGCCCATACATAATACAGCAGGTGTTGGAGAGCTTCGAACGAGGCGCGGTCCATCGTCGCATCGTATGGTGACTGAGCCTCTGATGGGATGGGAGAGTGGGGCTGCGCCGGCGAAATGGACTCCGTCGTTGCCTCCGAGCTGGACACAGACTCCACATGGGAGGCAGCTGTCCACGCTTGTGTCAGCGGATGAGACGGTCTCGGTCGAGGGTTAGGGCGGGGAGTCACGCCCGCAAACGCCGCTTGCAAGTTCATACCGGGCGTCGTCGACACAGGCACCTGAGACACATCGCCGCCGCAGTGAGGATGTGGAGTGAGATATTTCAACCGTGGACGGGCCGTGTGTTACTCCGCGCAAGGCGCCTTCTGCTAGCATGCCGTCTAACCGACTCCGCAGAAAGAGGACAAGCGAAGGGTGGAAGAAAGGGACGGCGCGAAGAAATAAACTGTATGAGGGAAGCAGTCACGATAAGGGCCCTTCTCATGAAGATCTCATGAATCGTCTTCTGTCCGCGCAGGACGCATTCGTACCCTAGACGCGTTCTAGGATTCAGCGCAGTATCTTTCGCCTCGTCCCGCATCTCAGCCGATCGGCAACTAGTTGCTGGCCCCCAGCGCCTGCAATGTTTCTTTCCGCTGTGGATCCGTGCACTCCACGCCAACTCTACAAGAGTAGACAGCCTGCCGCTTAGGTATCCGCTTCGGAGAAGCTCTGTGTTGGGCTATGCACGACCGAGTAGATGTCGGAGAGCGGCGACTGTACACGCTGCACAGGCGCCACGCTGCCGGCGGCGGCCTGTCGCTCGGAGAGGCGCTCGATTGAGCCCATGAGTGCCGTGTTATACATTGCCGGGACGTCAGGCATGGACGCTCGCGAACACATGTTGGGAAATGCGCGTGGGTCCGCGCCGCTGAGAGTGACGGAGCAAGAGGATGCGGCGGAACTGATAGACATAGGTGTAGGCGACCGGGGAGACATAGCCACTGGCGAAGGCACCTGGGAGCTGCGCTGCCATTCCGCGAGTGGGCTTCTCGCAGACGACGGGGGTCGGGCGACTACAGGCGGGTCCGCAGCAAGCGTGGGACTAACAGTCCTCGAGGATTGCGGAGGCGAAACCGGAGAGGTGGGTAAAGACGAGTCAAAGAGCACATGCGTCGGAGATATTGGACTGAAGGGAATGAACACGTTGGACTGACAGAATACTCGACATTTTAGCCAATGTCTATCACAGACCAGCAATGCACATTACCTCTTCCATTACGCCCGCAGTCTTACGCTGCCTTAGTCCAGATTGCGATCCACGGGTAGCCATACCAGTTTGTCTCGATGGTAGCTAATTAAGCCCGACAGATATATCGCCTTGCCTAGCTGTCGCGGTGGTGCGCCCGGAGCCGTGAACAAATCGTCTCGCCTGATTCTCATTGCCTTCAGCACGATCGCTGTATACGTGAGGTGCTACCGGTGCGTTTCGTTGACGCCTCTGCCGGCGATTCTCAACAAAGGATTCTGCCCAGACCTCGATTCTGGAGGCGATGTGGGGCTCGTATACAGACTGGTGAGGATCTGATCAGCCAACTTCCCGACTTCTAATAGTCGTCCTTACCTCTTTAAATGCTACCGCTGCAGCAATCGCGCTGATAGCACCTGGAACATATACGGTAGCGGCTGGGACTAGCATTGCGACTATAACGAAGGTGAGAAAGTTGTTCGCAAGGTCTTGTGTACTGAGGTCATCTCGCAGTGCATTGATGAGGTCGTCTTCGGGATTCATGCGTGGCGAACGGATTTACTGATGTCGCAAGAGAAAACATCGACATTGGCCGTTGCATTGCGGGGATGCGTCCTGGAGGTGCAAAGCCAGACGGCGACCCGCTCGCGTCACCCTCGCCGCCATACATGTTCAGGTTCGTCATGATGGTGTTGCGCGGTGCGTTCAGCATCATGCCGTACACGCTGGCAGTCTGCTGGTACGGCATTGAAGCCACCATCGACATGTGGCCATAGTCCGACCCGGCTACCTACCCTGGCCTGCCTCCCATTGGCATGAACAGCAGCTGTGGCAGAATGTACTGCGACATCATTGGCTGTGCGCCGTACTGCGACAGGTTAGCCTGTGACGCCTGCCCGCGAAGATTTGAGTCTGAGCTCTTGTGGCCCAGCGGATTGGCGTCTCTGCAGTATTTGCATGCTTGCGAGCCTTCGTGGAAGTTACGCGGAGATTGCTACCTCGAAGGGAGACCACGAACGTGCGAGTGAGGCTTATTGTTGTATCCACTCTTGTCCGAGTGACGTGAGCCCGTCTCCCAAGCCTCTGCTTCATATTCTGCAAAACCAGTCAAAATACGGATGGTTCATAGCATCAGCGTGGACAACGTACCGCTGGACTTCTTGAGCGGGATCATTGAGTCGTCAAATTTCTCATCGCCATTCATGATGACCTTCTTGTTGCTGCCTTCACCGATGACCAGACGAGGATTGCCCCAAGGGCGGGAAGAAACTGTACACCGGGTATCTACGT